GAGCAAAGATATCAACTCCAGACCTAAGCAGCTCTGCCCAGCGGGGTCTCTCAGCCTCGTCACCAAACTCTGCACGCCAAGCGTCGTGTAGGCGGGAGAAGCAACGGTGCTGAGTGTGAGGCTTCCCGCATGTCTGACAAGCACGGTCACCCGTGCCAATGACATACGGGCAGCTAACACTACCCCCAAATGCCCCACGCTGAGCAAACCACTCACTAAGAGCAGAAGCAGCCCCGACATCCGTAGTACCAAGGATGTCAACAGCAGCAGTAGAAACGTAGGAAGGGGCAAGGGGAGAGGGGGAACACCCCTCAAAGAAGGGTGTGCGAGGAGTGCCACGAGCAGCACTTGCAACGACTACGCTAGTCTCAGCTGCAAGGAGGTGCTGCTCGAGTAGGTCGACATTGAGGTCTGTGGGGTCAAGTGTGAGAAAGTGGTCCCTGACTGCGCGAAGAGAGCCAGGGAGGCGGGTGACTATAAAGTAGAGAGTGATGTACATCGGGGGCGGGTTCCTGTCAAGGAACTCTGCTGAGAGGGCACTGCGGTAGCCAGCGTCACTAGTGCGAAGGTGGGGAACGAGGTCCTCTACCGTGGGAAAGGCGGACAGCTCGGGAAACAGGTAGGGCAGCAGAAGACGGCCAAGAGCAGCAGTGGCAGGGGAGGAGTAACGGGCGACTACAGCATCATACAGTGCTTTGGCAGATTTGTGCTGTCCGAAGTGAGCGCGTTCGGCTAACGCAAGGTGGTTGCGAACGGCTAAGCGAGCAGTAGCGTCACGAGAAAGCCACTGTGAGCGAGTCGCACTGTCAGCTGTGGCGGGAGGGGCTATAGAGGCTCCAGACGTGTGGTCAAACAACGAAACATTGTCTTCAGAATCGCTCAGTAAGTACAGCTGTAAGTCGTCGAGCCACGTATCGAACTGTATCGGACAGCCCTCATGATCAAAGGTGAGTACACTGAGAGAAGCCATAGCAGACAGAGCAGGGCGGCGTGCGGCAAGCAGAGTAGCGCGCAGAGCAAGGCAGGGCAGCGAACGGCTAGGGCGGCCAGAGGGGCGGCGCACAGCAGGGGCGGCTGCAGGGGCGGGATGCCAGAGGGCGGCGAGCGGGCTGCAAGGGGCGGCGCGCGGGCTGCAAGGGGCGGCGAGCGGGCCGCAAGGGGCGGCGCGCGGGCTGCAAGGGGCGGCGAGCGGGCCGCAAGGGGCGGCGAGCGGGCCGCAAGTGGCGGCGAGTGGGCCGCAAGGGGCGGGGAGCGGGCCGCAAGGGGCGACGAGCGGGCTGCAAGGGGCGGCGAGCGGGCTGCAAGGGGCAGCACGCAGGCTGCAAGAGGGCAGCGCGCGGGCTGCAAGGGGCGGCGAGCTGGCGGCAAGGGCGGTAATTGGGCCGCTGGCGGGCGGCTAGGGGCTGCGAGAACGCGACGGGCGGGCGGCAAGCGGGCTGCAGGGGCAGCGAACGGGCCGCGAGCAAGCGGCGAGCGCGCGGCAGGAGCGGCGAGTGAGACGCAAGCGGGCGGCGAGCGGGCTGTAGCGACAGTGAGCGGGCCCAGGGGCGGCGGGCGGGCCGCAAGAAGGGCGGCGCGCGGGCCGCAAGGAGGTGGCGAGCGGGCTGCAGGGGCAGCGCGCTAGCTGCAGGGGCGGCTCGTTGGCTGCTAAGTGCGGCGCGACGAGCTGCTAGGGGCGGTGCAGCGGCCAGAAGGGCGACGCGTCAGTAGGGTAGGGCGGTAGGGCAGCTAGTGGGGCAGCTATGTGGTGGGCCCTAAAAAATACCGGTCCTACGGAATCATGTCAGAATCTAACGAATGAGAATGGATGAACTATGAAGGAGTTGGGCACAAGTACTAACCCTAATTGGGTTGTATCCCTAATGGACTACCCCACTATAGCCTACACAAAGTAAGCAATGTAACATTTTGACAGTTACCACTTTAGTTTCGCTATACATTATTCGCTCATTGTACTCTTTCTTCGATAATGCAATTCTCGCTCGCTCACTCAATTGCACTCGTAACAATACCGTATGAAAGAATCTTAGCATGATTCATGTAACAATATTTGAAGCCGTTATTCCAGGTTGAAGACAACTCATTCTCGAACTTGGTGTCTGCTGGAACTGTGAAGAATTAAATAGGAATGAATGAACTAGGAAAGTGTGAGATACAAATATAAAACCTGTACCCCTTAGTGTCTACCCCAATACAGCCTACATAGGCTAAGGCATATACATCTGACAGGAACTACAGGGTGAGTTTGTTCGTAAGAAAGTTGAGAAATCAATGGTGTTTTCAATCAACCAGAGTGAATGATGTGTATTCATTATCTGTAAGCGTCATGCATAGTTGACATTAGAGTGTTTCTCCGAATTTAGCGAAGCTGTCCGTGTATTATTGGTAAGCACGAGTCGCAATGTGCGGTCCGTGTGAAGCTTCCCACATCAAACTTCGCAATTACTGTTCCGCCGTGAATGCCGCCGTGGATATCGTGATCTAGCAAGCCCGAAACCTTCGCAGCGCCCACTTCTCCAGCTGCGAAGCGCCTTAGAGTCCAGAAACATTCGCCCCTGATAACGCCTTTTCACCTCGTAATCAGCAAACACCTTTCCCAAACCCTCTCTTCCCCCAACCAACCCTCTCTCGCACAACGCAAATTGTCAGCAACAACTCAACCAGCCCGCACACACATTTCCGAGGCCATCATAATTTTGAATCATATAATTCTCAGCGCGTCACCATCACCCAAGCTCCCACCATCGGCGCCGCATCCGACGCTTCAAGACTCAGCAGTAAACCGAGGTGCTACGAGACGCACGGTGAATTTCGCCACGGCTACTGTCGAGCCGCAACACGTCAGCCAAACCGAACTGGCCTGCCCGCATGGCGCTAATGCTTCATGCTATTAAAATTCCCCTCGAGCTAAGCAAGTCATTCAGTCTTCATTCAACCAGAAATACTAGCAGCCATCCCAGCTCCAAAATAAAATTCCAGAAGCCTCTGAAACTACCATCACTGCCATCCTACCAATCTAAATCTTCTTTCCAATTCAGGCTTCTTTCAGTAACAAACGCAGCCATGGGTGCTCTTCGTTCGCTCTTCCTGCTCGCCCTCGTCCTCGCCACGACTCTGAACCTCCTCGATGGAGTCTCAGCGGCGCCGCGACGCGCCCTCGGCAAGGTCAAGGGGAATCCTCCTCAGAAGCCCCTCCCGCCAACTCCATTCGACCCGAAGAACTTCCCCGTCGCATCTAACCCTCCCTCTCCAAGCGGCTCGCGGAAGGGCTCCATGGACTCAACCATCTCGTTCGATTCCAACGCGCCATCCGTGCCCTCAATCGGCGGCTCGCCGTCACGAAAGGGCTCAGCTGATTCGTCCTTCTCCTTCGATTCCAAGGACGGCGGGTCCCGCAGGAGCTCCGTGGGTTCCGTCTCGTCCGTGGATTCCGCTGCTGCGGCGAAGAAATTCCTCTCGAACGTCCCAAACGCGTTCGAGCCTTACTCGGGCAACTCTGGCGGATCCCGCAAGGGCTCAGGGGCAACGCCGCGCATTCTCGTTATCAAGGGGGGACCTCAGAAGCCCCTTCCGCCCAACCCAAGCAGGAAATCATCTGTTGATTCGTCCGCCGCTTCGGGGTTCCACGTCGCCAACTTCCCCGTCGCGTCTAACCCTCCCTCTCCAAGCGGCTCTCGGAAGGGCTCCATGGACTCAACCATCTCCTTCGATTCCAAGGCGCCATCCGTGCCCTCGCTCAACGGCTTGCTGTCCCGAAAGGACTCAGTGGGTTCGACCTTCTCCTTCGATTCCAACGACAGCGGATCTCGCAGGAGCTCCGTGGATTCCGTCTCGTCCGTGAAAACCGGGGTGTCTGTTCAGATTCGCGCTGCTGATTCCAATGGCAAAAAGGGAGGGAAGTGATTCGTCACTTGGTTTCAAGCTTTGGAGTAGGGGCCTTTGCTTGCTGGTGGGCTAACGTTGAGGGATTGAGGCAGTTGTGAGGAGGCACGGCTACTGTGCAGCTGTTCTGCTGTGGTGCCAGGCTGCTGTGGTGCGGTGACATGGGCTCCAAACCGATTGGAGGGCATGGGTAGTGATGCTGTGTTCCTGTGGTACGAGTCTGCTGTTTCTTCTCACTCTTGTGTGCTTTGTGCTTCTTGTCGCTTTTCTTTGCTCTTGCTCCTGCTTGTCTTTCGGTGGGCTGGATGAATTTTTTATTGCAAGAAGTGTGTGTGTGTGTGATGCCTTTCAACAATTCCCTGTTCTGCTTTTAATAAAGATACCCTTCTCTGTGCTGTGCATCCCACACTTGCACTACAGCATCCTAAAAAATATAAATTTTAAACACATTGATGTTTTTCAAAATTGTGTATTGTGAAAGCGAAGCTGCCTGTACCGAATATTTGGCAGCCTGCTAAACGCCCTTCTCCAACTACAAAAACCGTGGGTTGGAGTTCATTCCCTCCAACCACGTTTCTCGTTTTCCAACGGCTCAATCAACATCCCCACCACCCACCCCGGACCAACTACAAGACCACAGCTGCTTGGACGGACGACTCCATAGCAAGTAATATTTGCATGTACTAGCATGTGTTTAAGAACGATGCATATGTTGTAATAACCCAGTTGCAATGAGAACAAAGCCAAATTATAAGGACAAGAAAGCAAGCTTTCTCAATGCCATCACCAATAACAGAATTCCAAAATGCAATGGTTCACGTTATATATCCCAACAATCCTTAATCACACGAACCACACTACTTGGAAGGCTTACGTAGCTTTACCCTTAGCACGGTTTGCTCCTCCCACCCCCTTTTTCTTCTCACCACCACCACCGCCGCCGCCACCGCTGCCACCCCTCCCTCTTGCATGCTTGTTGCCATGCTTACTATTACCCTTGCCCTCCTCTCCTCTCTTGCCCTTCTCTCCTCCCTTTGCCTTTTTCTTTCCTGGCTCCTCTTCACTGGGTTGTGCATTCTTGACGTATCTGACAGGTCGAATGACCACCCCCACTGGCTTCATGACCTGCGGAAACACACGCACAACATGCACAGCACACGCACAGCACATGCACAGCACACGCACAGCACACGCACAGCACATGCACAGCACATGCACAGCACACGCACAGCACACGCACAGCACACGCACGGCACATGCACGGCACACACACAGCACATGCACAGCACACGCACAGCACACGCACAGCACACGCACAGCACACGCACAGCACACGCACAGCACACGCACAGCACACGCACAGCACATGCACAGCACATGCACAGCACATGCACAGCACACGCACAGCACATGCACAGCACACGAACAGCACACGCACAGCACACGCACAGCACACGCACAGCACATGCACAGCACACACACAGCACACGTTTAGCACATGCACAGCACACGCACAGCACATGCACAGCACACGCACAGCACATGCACAGCACACGCACAGCACATGCACAGCACACGCACAACACACGCACAACACACGCACAACACACGCACAACACATGCACAGAAAGATGAGAAATGGAGGGATGTGTCGTCCCCGGCTTGTGTTGGCTCCTCATCAGCAGGCTGGGCATTCTTGACGTATCTGACAGGTGGGATGACCACCCCCACTGGCTTCATGACATGGGGGAAAGTAACACACACAACACACGCACAAAACACAACACACACAAATGAGAAAAGAAAAGAGTGTGCATCCCCTGCTCTTCTTGGTTGAGAGTTCTAGACATATCTGACAGGTGGAATGACCATCCCCACTGGCTTGATATCCTGTCGTAACAGCATACAACAGACATGCAATACACACAGAATACACAGCACACACTGCGGGAACGAGGGAGAACTCCTTACTGCCTCTGCACTCCCCACTGCCTCTGCACTCCCCACTGCCTCTGTACTCCCCACTGCCTCTGTACTCCCCACTGCCACTGCACTACACACTGCATTTGCACTCACCGCTGGGCGGGTCATGGAGCGGAACGCTGCTTCTGTGTTGAAGTCCCGACCAATGGGGTTGCGGATGCTGCGTGCGTACTCCGCCCGGTTGCGGAACATGTTGGGCAGCTCGGGCACAAAAAACTTCTCGATCTGCCCATGGGAGAGGAGAGTGCAAGGGATTGGATGGAATGAGGCAGATGGTGGAAGACAACATACCGTCAATCCCGAAATAAAGAAGGCAGGACGGAAACAATGTTGCAACCATCTTCCCTCTATCTACACTATGTGGGAAAGTTTTTGCCAAGCTATATTGGAGTGACTTTTGAGAATTCTCAAAAGTGTCATTATCAAAAGGTTCCTACGAACGACACCGACCATTTCAATTTCTGCCCTCTCCCCCTCTCTTTACTCACCTTCTTATTGTCCTTCTCTGATACAATCACGTGCCTCAGCTTCGACTCCGCCCTCTGTTTCACTGTATCCAACCACCTCCTCTTCGCCCTCTCCCTCTCCTCTACTCACCAACTCACCCCTCCCCGCCCCCCCTTTTGCTCACCTTCTTATTGTCTTTCTCCGATACAATCACATGCGTCAGCTTCTCTATCCAGTCCAGCCCTCTCCTCTCTTCCCCTCCTTTCACTCACCTTCTTATTGTCCTTCTCCGATACAATCACATGCGTCAGCTTCGAATCCGCCCTCTGCTTCACTGCTTCCATCCGCCTCCTCTTCGCCTTCTCCCTCTCCTCCTCAATCCACTTCGGTGCCCCCTTCCGCCTCTGCACCTCCTCCCACTGCCCCCACCCGGGCAGCGTCACTGGTCCCTCCTCCCTCCCCACCTCCTTTTCCACCACTCGCTCTTTCTCCGCCTCGAATTCTGCTGCCACGTCATCACCTGCGAAGGCCAATCGCATCAGCTCATCTTGGTCTTTCTCGAACGCGCTCGCTCCATTCCCTTCCTCTCTTCCTCCTTCTCCTCCTTCCCCTCCTCCTCCCTTGCTGGCCCGTCCTTTTCTCTTCTTACCTACCTGTTTCTCCCCTCCCTCCTCCCCCTCCTCTTCCTCCACTCCCACTCCTGCCCCCCTCTCCACCCTCTCCCCAGCATCCTCCCCCCATGCTTCATCCTCCATATAAGCATCCCCCTTGCCCTCCAAACGCATCCCCTCGTTATAAGCCACGCCATCGTCTATATCCTCCTCTCCATCCTCCCTCTCACTCTCGCTATAGTCACCCTGCATAATCCCCACCGCTCCCTTACCAGAACCATCATCACCCATCTTCCCCCCCTCCCCTCCCCTCGCCCTGGCCCTCTTCTTCCCCCTCTCCTCCCCCTCCGCCCCGCCTACCCTCCCCTCCTCTCTCCCCTCCTCATCCTCCTGTTCCTCCTCCTCTCCCTCCATCCTCACCCCAGTTTCACACACCCCCTTCTCCCCTTCACTCCCTGTGTGTCGCAGCAAAGCCTGCAAATCCCCATAGTGTGGGGGCACAGACACATCTACAGGGGCTGATGCAGAGCTGTCAGCAACAGGCAACTGCAAGGAAGGTTGGTGGGTGGGTGGGTGGGTGGGGAGATGTGAGAGAGGGTGAGACGTGAGACTGCCTGCAAATCTCCCTCCCCTGCTCCTGCCTCTCTTCTACCATCAGGCACGGGTGGCGGCACAGACACGTCTACAGGGGCTGAAGCAGAGCTGTCAGCGAGAGGTAACTGCAGAAGGGGTAGATGGGGGAGGGGGGGGGAAGTTAGAGAGAGTGAGGGCAGGGAGTTGGGAAGCTAAAAAGGCGTGTATGCAGGGGGGTTTTGCAGCACATTACCCGCTTCAAAGCAGCCACTGCTGAAGGAGTAAAACCAATGAAACTGTGAATCAAACCCCCCTTGCCAACACCTTGCAGCACGCGATCCCTTCGATTCTCACATTCATTGAGCTGCTTTCTTAGAATTCTCAAAAACCAAATCATTCAGATGAACCCAACCCAACCCAACCACTCACCGCAGTGAAGGAGAACCCCTTTCCAGCTCCTAGCATCGCTTTCACCTGTCGTGCTGCCTCTCTCTCCTCCTTCAACAGCCTCCCCCCTCCCCTCCCCTCTCCCTTTCCCCCAAACTTCATCCCGCTCTTCCCCCCTCCGCTTTGCCCTCCTTCCCCACCATCCTCCCCTCCCCCTTCCCCCTCTTCCTCCTCTCCGTCCTCCCCTTCCCCCTCTCTCACTGCCACCCACTCGTCTCTCTCCTCCTGCCCTTCCCCTCCCACTACTCTCTCTCCCAGATTCCCAAACACCCTCCTCCCTGCTCCCACCCTCTCTCCCTCCTCCTCCTCCTCCTCTCCCCATCCTCCTCCCCCCCACCCATCACCCCCCCCTCCACCTCCCCCCTTCACCCTCCCACCCTCCCCATCCTCCCCGTCACCGTACCCAACCCCTTCCAACCCCTCCTCGAGGTCTTTAATCGCTTCTATAGCCTCTTTCTGAGCCTCTAACCTCCTCCTCTCAATAGCCTTGGCCATAAACGGCAAAGCAAAGAGACCACTCTTTGTTGCCCCATCCCCCTCCCCTCCCTCCCCCCCATCCCCTCCCCCTTTCCCTTCCAACGCTCTCAGAATTCTCGCCTTAGCACTCGCTACCAGCCTCCTTCCCTCCTTCTCCCCTCCCCTTCCTTTCCCTCCCGCCTCCTCCCCCTCACTCCCCCCAGACTCCTCCCCACTACCCTCCTCTCCCCACCCCCCCTCCCCATCCTCCTCCTCCTCCTCATCCTCCTCCCCCTCCCCTCTCCCAATCGTCGCAGAATGAATCTTTCTAGTCAGCATGGCATGTGTTCTTAGCTGCTCTGCTATAGCCTCTCTCGTCCCCTGCCCTCCAACCGCTGCTTTAGCCGCCATTCCCCTCTCTATAATCCTCTTAGCCCACTTGGAAGTGTTCTTATGTCGAAGGGTCATCCGCTCCTTAGCACGTAAATACTCCTGCTTTATCGCAGCTTCTCTTGCTGCCTCCTTGTCCTCCCACTCCTCCTCCCCACCCGCTTCCCCTCCCGCTACAAGCCCCTTCCTTCTCTTCCTCTCTTCGGCTTTTCTTTCCATCTTGTGAAAGGTTTTGGATTTGATTTTCTTGACTCGCTTCGCCTTTGCTTCGTGCTGCAGCAGCAGCGATCGCATCTTGGCTAGTCGGTTCATTCTCTCCCGTGCTTCCTCCACTGACATCTGAGAGGTGAAGAGGAGGAGGGGAGGGGAAGGAGGAGGGACAAAGAGGGAAGCGGATGAGAAGCGAGCCCTGCAAGTGTCACCTTGGCTTCGATCGCATCTTGGCTAGCCGGTTCATCCTCTCTCATGCCTCTTCCACTGACATCAGGTGGGGCAGAGGGGGGAGGAGGGCGAAAGCGGTAAGTGAGTGGCGGAGGTAGAGGAGAGAGCGTTGACACGCTTTGCCTTTGCTTCGTGCTGCAGCAGCAGCGATCGCATCTTGGCTAGTCGGTTCTTCCACAGACATCTGTGAGAAAACAATAAGGGAGGGAGGAGGGTAAGAAGGGGGCAAGGAGAGGAGGAGGGCAAGAAGCGGATATTTTTTAGACGTCTCGAAAACAATCTCATGACACAGGGCAAGAAGCGTGGAGGAGAGGGAATCGCTACCCGAAAGTTGGATGGTCGGTAGCAATCCCAATGTCGGTTCCCACTCTACCTTGTTTCTTCAATCAACATATTCAGGAAAAGGAACGAGTCGACTCAAAACCCAACAGTCACAAAGGAGCACTCACTTTATTCAGAGCCAGTGCCTCTCCATGCGCGATCCTCCTGTCATCCCCCACCCCCGCAGCCGCCAGAGCAGCAGCCACTTCCGTTTCCATCTCTGACTGGGGTCGGAACTTGTTGACTAGCTTGTCCGTTGACTTGAGAGTGGGGAGGGACGGCATCTCGTCTATCAGGTTGAGGGAGGGCGCCTGGCGGTTCTGCTGCACGAGTGGCAGCCACTTGGCCGCTTCCTTGGAGGATGCCTCGTAGGCGGCCCTGGGAGGGGAGGGAGAGGGGAGGAGGGAGGGGAGAAAAGAGGGGAGAAAGGAGAGAGATTCAGTGTGAGAGTGGGCAGCGACGGCATCTCGTCGATGAGGTTGAAGGAGGGCGCTTGGCGGTTCTGCTGCACCAGAAACAGCCACTTGGTTGCCTCCTTGGAAGAGGCCTCGTAGGCCGCCCTGAGAGGAGGAGGGGAGAGATGGGGAGGGAAGGGAGGGTGGGCAGCGATGGCATCTCGTCGATGAGGTTGAGGGAGGGCGCTTGGCGGTTCTGCTGCACCAGAAGCAGCCACTTGGCTGCTTCCTTTGAGGAGGCTTCGTCGGCGGCCCTGGGGGGGAGGAAGGGGTGGAGAAGGAAAGAGGGAGAGGTGTGAACTTGTTGACTAGCTTGTCCGTTGACTTGAGAGTGGGGAGGGACGGCATCTCGTCTATCAGGTTGAGGGAGGGCGCCTGGCGATTCTGCTGCACCAGTGGCAGCCACTTGGCCGCTTCCTTGGAGGATGCCTCGTAGGCGGCTCTGAGGTGAGGGGTGAGGGATGGGGGTGGAAGGGAGGGTGGGGAGCGACGGCATCTCGTCTAAAAGGTTGAGAGAGGGCGCTTGGCGGTTCTGCTGCACGAGAGGCAGCCACTTGGCTGCCTCCTCAGATGAAGCCTCGTAGAGGGGAAGGGAGTGAGTCAGTGTGAGAGTGAGGAGGGACGGCATCTCGTCTATGAGGTTAAGAGATGGGGCTTGGCGGTTCTGGTGCACGAGGGGAAGCCACTTGGCCGCCTCCTTGGAAGACGCTTCGTAGGCAGCCCTGGGGGAGGGGGGGTTGAGGGAGGAGAGGAAGGGAGGGAGGGTAAGAGGGAGAAGGTGATATATGTTCTTCAATCTCTCTTCTCTACACAGTCAGAAGTGTTGGCAGAGGCCCCGTGTGAGGAGCGCCCCATTAGACTCCATCCTCCTCATCATCTGCTTAACCACCTTACCCTCTGCCTCCATTCCATTCCCTACGTTCCACCCAACCCCACAAGCCACCCACTTCCTCTCCAGCCTTTCTCGCACGACGGTCGGCAGAGGCCCCGTGTCAGGAGCATCACTCGCCTCAATTCACCTCATCTGCTTCTTCAGCCCTGTTACCCTCTGTTCTCTCTTCAACCAACCCCAGATCACTCACTTTCTTTCCAGCCTCTCTCGCACCACTGTCGGCAGGGGCCCCGTGTCAGGAGCGCCACTCGCCTCAATCCGCCTCATCTGCTTCTTCAGCCCAGCCAGCGCCGAACCTCCCACTCCCAAACCTGCCGCCGCGGAGCCTTCCGCCGAGCCTTTCGCCAAGCCTGACAAATCAGCCCCGGCCTGCCCCAGCGGCCGAAGCAAATCCTCCACAGATAACCCTCCCGAAGCTGCTGCCGAACCTGCTGCAGTGGTAGGGAAACCAGCCGCTGCTCCTGCCGCTCCTCCTGCCGCGGCTGCTGCTGCTGCGTCTGCTGCTGCTGCCAATGCTGCGCCCTTGGCTGCTGTGAGGTTGAACTCTGACTCGGGGAGACTCTCCCCCACCACTGCTGATGCCTTGAGAGCTATCGCACCTCGGGGCTTTCTAGCTGATAGAAAAAAGGGAACGGGAGGAAGGGGAGGGCAGAAAGGGGGTAGAGAGCAGAAAGGACGGAGAAAGGATTGAGCTGTGAGATTGAACTCTGAATTGGGTAAACTCCTTCCCACCACTGCTGATGCTTTCAGTGCTATCCCTCCACGGGGTTTCCTAGCTGTGAAGACAGGGAGGAGGGGAAGGGGGAGGGGAAAAGGGGTCAAGAGAGAGCAGCAAGGGGCGAGAAAGGGATTGACCTGGGCCCTCTGCTGCTGCCAATGCTGCGCCCTTGGCTGCTGTGAGATTAAACTCTGACTGACTCAGGTAGACTCTCCCCCACCACTGCTGATGCCTTGAGGGCTATCCCCACCACGTTCTTTCCACTCCCCCTGCACCCTCTGCACCCACCCTGTGTGTCGCTCCAGACTCTACTGCCACGCCCCTAACTCTAAACTCTAAACCCTAACCCCGAACCCCGAACCCCTTCCTGCCTCACCTTCCCTGCTCTGCTGCCTCGCCACCACATCAGCCAACAGCCGCTGGTGCTTCTCCTCATCCTCCTCATCGTCCTCCTCCTCCTCACTCTCCCCCTCTCCCTCCTGTCCATCCTCTCCCTCATCCTCCTCCTCCTCACTCTCCCCTTCCGCGTCCTCCTGTTTTCTGTGACCCCTCATTTTCCCAAGCTTCTTCTTCCCCTTTTTCCAATCTCCCTCCTCCTCTCCCTCCTCCTCCTCGTCTTCCTCATCCTCCTCATCCTCCTCATCATCACTATCTAACATACCCCCTCCCTCTTCCTCTTCTTCCTCAACCTCCTCCTCTTCCTCTCCCTCCTCCCCCGCCCCTCGACCCATGCCTATCTTCTTCTCCTCTTCAGTAAATGCCTCGTCCTCATCGATCTCCTCGTCCTGAGGTAAGCGAGAAGAGCAGGGGAGAGGGGGATAAGAGAAGGAAAGAGGGGACGGGTCCAAGTGAGAAACCACCTCCTCTTCCGCCCGTCGCCCCATCCCCATCTTTTCTCCTCATCAGTAAATGCCTCGTCCTCGTCAATCGATTTTTGAGTCGACTCAAAAATCGGGTCCAAGTGAGAAACCACCTCCTCGTCCGCCCGTCGCCCCATCCCCATCTTTTCTCCTCATCAGTAAATGCCTCGTCCTCGTCGATCTCCTCGTCCCGAGGTTAAAGCAGGAAGGAGGGGGGAGAGACGACGAGGGGAGACGAAGAGGGAAAGTGGGGAAAGTGAGGTCAGAAACTATCACTTCATTCCCCCCGTGTAATGAGTCGTGTTTTGAGTCGTGTAATGAGTCGTGTTTTGAGTCGTGTAATGAGTCGTGTAATGAGTCGTGTTATGAGTCGTGTTTTGAGTCGTGTTATGAGTCGTGTAATGAGTCGTGTAATGAGTTGTGTAATGAGTCGTGTAATGAGTCGTGTAATGAGTCGTGTAATGAGTCGTGTAATGAGTCGTGTAATGAGTCGTGTAATGAGTCGTGTAATGAGTCGTGTAATGAGTCGTGTAATGAGTCGTGTTATGAGTCGTGTTTTGAGTCGTGTTATGAGTCGTGTTTTGAGTCGTGTTATGAGTCGTGTAATGAGTCGTGTAATGAGTTGTGTAATGAGTCGTGTAATGAGTCGTGTAATGAGTTGTGTAATGAGTCGTGTAATGAGTCGTGTAATGAGTCGTGTAATGAGTCGTGTAATGAGTCGTGTAATGAGTCGTGTAATGAGTCGTGTAATGAGTCGTGTAATGAGTCGTGTAATGAGTCGTGTAATGAGTCGTGTAATGAGTCGTGTAATGAGTCGTGTAATGAGTCGTGTAATGTGTCGTGTAATGAGTCGTGTAATGAGTCGTGTAATGAGTCGTGTAATGAGTCGTGTAATGAGTCGTGTAATGAGTCGTGTAATGAGTCGTGTAATGAGTCGTGTAATGAGTCGTGTAATGAGTCGTGTAATGAGTCGTGTAATGAGTCGACTCAAAACACGAAAGTGGGGAAAGGTACAGGTCTCCTCTTCGGTAAAAGCCTCGTCCTGATGTGACAGGAAGGAGATTAAGAGAGTTGGAAGGAAAGGGGGAAAGGGAACTGTTGGGTAAGTACCCCATTCTATCCCTTTTGCCCCATTCCTACCTTAGCTTCCTCTTCAGTGCAGGACTCGTACCCATCTTTGCAGCCCCATAATTTCAGCGAAATTACTGCGAAACTACAGCGAAAGCATTGCGACAATACAGCGAAAGTTACCCTATTCTCGCCAACGTTTTCGCTCACCTCGAAGTCCGCGGGAAGCTCGTACTCGTACACGTCCACGTCATCGTACCGCCGGTTCTTCGTGGAAGCTTCCTCCGGAAGCTCCTCCGCCACCTCGTAGCCCGCATCTACCGGCGTCGCCTCGTCCTCGTCGCTGTCCAGCCCTCCGCTTTTTCCGCCGCCAAAGCCGCCGCCTCTCCCGCCGCCAAATCCGCCACCGCGGCCGCCGTATCCTCCCCTTCCCCCTCCGCCGCTCCATCGCCCCCTTCCTCTTCCGCCGCCCCTTCCGCCGCCTCTTCCGCCTCCCCTTCCCCCTCCCCTTCCGCCAAAACCCCTCCCCCCGCCTCTTCCCCCGAAACCCCTCCCCCCGCCCCTACTCAGTCCTCTTCCCCCGCCTCTTCCCCCGCCCCTCCCTCCGCTAATGTCCCCGCGCCCGCCGCGCCCGCCGCCACCAGGCGAGGTCGATCTGCCCCTGCCGCGAGAACCCCCGCGGAAGCCGCCCCTCCCGCGGGATCCCCCGCGGAAGCCGCCGCCGGGGGACCTTGCCTGCATGGCGTCGGGACGCCCCATGCTGGCGCGCGGGATTTAACTTGCGTTGACTAGTTTGACTCGCTTGACTGGTTCGAGGGGCTTGACTAATTCGTCTCAGGAATGTCAGATACTCCAATGTAAAACGTGCTATGCGCCACCAATGCGCCACCTGTCACACCGCATGTGCTGCTCTGCTCCTAGAACGGGGGATGGCAAAACATTTCATCAGGGAAAAACATGAGAAGCCTGTCGGGTTTCGGGTGTTGGGTTTTAGCGAAACTTGGAAAGGTGTGAAGCACATACCCGCCAAAAGCAGGAGCGGCTTCGATATGAAAGCCCTATTCAATACACGTGCCAAGAGCAGAATCTGAGAACACCAGTAATATTCACTAAAGGTACACCAAGAATCTCACTTGATCCAATACTCATCTCCTAGCACGCGATATCCCAAGTACAGATGCTAGCACGGTACAAGAATAAATGGTTTTTTTTAATCCTGAAAGCGTCAATCATTTCGATCCATCATCATTACTGCATGATGTATTATTGAAGGTACACTAAAACACATGCTGCCCACCTAGGGCAGTTATTGAATTCTGAAACGATTCTTACTTCAATAAAAGATGCACCAAAACCAGGTCACATAACTTGATGTGTAACTTGAGGGCTCGAAGCCATGGCAACTTTGAAGAGCAGCTGTATGAAAAGTTGAAGGGCAGAAGGAGGGGAAAGAATCACAAAGAACAGGTGCTAGGAAAAGGACTGGAGAGGCTGCTGGTGACACAGCTAGTGTGGCGTGGTAGGCAGCTGGTGCTGCTGGTGCTGGTGCCAGTGGCGCTGGTGATTGTGACGATGGTGAAGCGTGCCCTTACTGCTGATGTGGGTAGTGCATGGGGAAGGGTGTGTTGGGGCTGCTGGTGACACGGCTAGTGTGGCAGGCAGCTGGTGCTGCTGGTGCCATGGCTAGTGTGGCAGGCAGCTGGTGCTGCTGGTGCCATGGCTAGTGTGGCAGGCAGCTGGTGCTGCTGGTGCCATGGCTAGTGTGGCAGGCAGCTGGTGCTGCTGGTGCCATGGCTAGTGTGGCAGGCAGCTGGTGCTGCTGGTACCATGGCTAGTGTGGCAGGCAGCTGGTGCTGCTGGTGCCATGGCTAGTGTGGTATGCCCGTGCTGCAACTGGTGGTGGTGCTGTTAGTGGTGGTGGTGATGGTGGTGGTGCTAGCACATGCTGCTGTTTTGGCCAGTGCTTGAGCAAGTGTTAGTTCGGGCTGCTGCTGACTTGGTGAGTGCAGCCGGCAGCTGGTGCTGGTGTGGGTGCCGTGGGCTTTGGTGCTGGTGCTGGTGGTGCTGGTGGTGGCGGTGGTGTTGTGGCTCGCATATGCTGCTGGATTGGGTAGTGCTTGGGAAAAGGGTGCGTAGGGACTGCTGCTGGCACATCTAGTGTAGCAGGCAGATGGTGGTGGTGTTGGTGCAGTGAGGTGGTTTTTAGTCCACTCGAAAAACAAGAGAAGCACACATACCTAACATAACAAGAGCAAGGGAGTTGATGCAAGGGGACGTTGAGGCTGCTGCTGACATGACTGGTGCGGCAGGCAACTGAATGTGCTGGTGCCTTGCGGTTGTAACATTACTGGTGCTGCGGCTAGTGTTTGTGGTGCTTCTGGTGGTGGTGCCAATCTTGTGGTGCTGGTGGTGCCAAGTGTTGGTGCCACTGGTGGCAATGCTGCAGCACAGCGTGCAGTGCTGGTGGGAGTGCTGCTAGTTTTGGTGTTCGTGTTGAGTGTTGGTGTTGGAGTTGGGGCTGTGACCAGTGATGATGCTGCTGCCATTGCTGGCAGTGCTGCTGTGTGCACCTGTGCTGGTGGCTATGCTGGCACCTCAAGGGGTGGTGACAATGGGGTGGGGGTGCTAATGCTTACAGCACTGCTGCTGCTTGTGCTGATGAGACAGGTGGTGATGCTAGTGATGATGGCGGTGGTGTGAGTGCTGCCATCATTGCTTGTGCTGCCCATGCCACTGCTGGTGCTGGTGCTCCCATTGCTTGCATTGGTATCACTGGTGGTGCTCCGAGTGTTGGTGTTTAACTGGCTCTATGCAACTGCTCCTACAGCTGCCAGTGCTGGTGTTGGTCCTCGTGCGGGTAATGTTGGTGGTGGTCCTAAACGTATCCTTACACTAGTGCATGCTTGTGCAGAAAGAGCAAACGACATCGCTCCCTATTCAAACGTGTTTTGCAATTCGAAAGCCGCAACAAAGGACTGCGCCTGTGAAACAGTAAAGCCTAGTGAGTGTAAAAACTCGAGTGCATCTCAGGCAGTTGAAACACATCAGACAGACAGTGTGTGGGAGCAGGCAGTGGTAACCACACACGTTCAAAGACACTGTGCGCGTGTGTGTGTGCAGAGCCGTAAATTACCATAAAGGCAAAGCTTACCATAAAGGCATAGCTTACCATAAAGGCACAGCTTACCATAAAGGCACAGCTTACCATAAAGGCATAGCTTACCATAAAGGCATAGCTTACCATAAAGGCATAGCTTACCATAAAGGCACAGCTTACCATAAAGGCACAGCTTACCATAAAGGCACAGCTTACCATAAAGGCATAGCTTACCATAAAGGCACAGCTTGACGATGAGAGGGCCACTTCACCTAGGCGGGTACCCGCCATGCGAACGACAGAGTCAGTCCGCAGCATCTCTCGGCTGATAATATCCAGCAGGGGGAAAGCCACTTCCTCCCCCCGATTGCACTGCAGACTTTGCAGCAAAAAGGGTTGTATCGGCATCTCTATGTTATGCAGCAGAAAGGGTCCTATTTCCTCTCCTCCCCCCATTGCATGCCACTCTCTGCTCTCTGCAGCATCTATCGGTTGGGGTCCGGCCCTTATCCCCCACACCCCTTGCTGGCTGCTGCTGCTGCTGCTGCTGCTGCTGCTGAGCCCCTCGCTTCCCTCTCCAATCCCTCCATCTACTCATCTGCTGCCCCCCATCCGTCCGTGCCTGCTGCCGGCCACTCTACCTACCCCTACCCCTGTTGCTGCTTCTGCTTTCACCGAGTCCCTAGCTTTCATCTCCATTGCCCTGTGACCCTTCTGCACCACACTGAACACCCCTGCACTCCTCTACACGTCTACTGCTCTCCCGCCGTGCCGGCTGGTGGCGACTCTATACCTACCCCTGCTGTTCCTGGTGCCCCTGCCGCTGGGTCCCTCCCTTCCCTCTCCATTGCCCTGTGGCCCTTCTGCCCGAGAGGAGTGCGAGAGAATGTGCTAGGGGGCAATGGCGAGAAAGACAGAGATGAGGATAGGGAGAGGGAGAGAGAATGCAGAGAGAGCGAGGGAGAGGAGGAGGGGGAGAAAGAGGGAGAGAGAGAGAGAGAGAGGAGAGAGAGAGAGAGAGAGAGAGAGAGAGAGAGAGAGAGAGAGAGAGAGAGAGAGAGAGAGAGAGAGCGAGAGAGCGAGAGAGAGACGGGGCGACAGAGGAAGCGAAAGAGAGAGCGAGAAAAGGAGGCGAGGGATAAGATCATACGATGGAGAGAGAGGAGTTAAGAAAAGCTGCATTATCAAACTATAAAGGAAGGGGGGAGAATAAGAAGGTTCAGCAGCTTGTTGACTCGCCAGAAACAGTGCCAAAAGAAAGCGAACAAAAGAGCCTTCAAAACGATAGGAGCGAATACAAGTGAGCAGCTAGGAGAAAGGAATAGGAGACAGAAAAAGTGCAGAGAAAATTGTAGGGTGCAGAAAAAAATGTGAGTCAGAAGACAAGAAGTGCAATAGGTCAGAAGAGGGCGCAAGAGAGAAGGGGAGAGAGAAAGCGGGGTAAGGGAAATGTAGGGCGGAATGGCACAGAGGCATGTTGAGGTGAAAGGAGGGCAGGAGGGCAGGAGGGTATGGGGCCAGGGAGGGTGTGTGTAAGGGCAGTGGGGGAGTGGTGGCGAGGAGGATATTGTACGCGCACAGGCCCCCGGTCAGAGGACGCAAGAGAGATTCCCTGCAGCGCCGTGTGCACTGCTGATGCTGCGTCCACGTCCTATTGGGGAAGGAGGGAGGATGGCAGAAATAAACAGGAGGGGAAGGAGGGGGGTTAAGTGAGGTGACGAGGAGGCAAGAGAAATGCCTTACAGTGCCGTGTGTACTGCTGATGCTGCCTCCACATCCTGGCATGAGTGGAGGGGGGAGAAGGGGAGGAGGGCAGAAGAAGGAGAAATGGGGAGGGCACTGCTGCGTGAGGGAAAGAGGAGGCGAGAGAGTTGCCCTGCAGCGCCGTGTGCACTGCTGATGCTGATTCCACGTCCTGGCGAGAACACAGGGGGAGGGGACGAGAAGGGAGCGGTAGGGGGGACGGAACATATTGCGATAAGGAGGTAGAGTTACAGCACTTGATGCCTCCTGTAGTTAATCCCCAGCTATTGATTTTCAGCAATTAATCCAACAGAGAAGCAGCATTCCAACACTTACTTATAAGGATATGGTGTTGGATATGGTGACATGGGACATAATCTAATACACTCACAACGAACTGCACAAAGCAGCAGGTGCTCATTCCCTGTCGAAGCAGCTTCAGTTGCACATAACCAGGCTGCCTGTAACGAGTATAAGAGGCCAGGAGAAGAAAGAACAAGGAAAAACGAAGAAGGATACACTTCAACAGACTGAAGGAAATCTGAGCACTCAGGATACCAACACATACACTTGAATTTGAGATATATTTGGTATTGTAACGAAGCGAATTAAAACCCACGGGCCAAGAAGTTCAAGCTTAGGAAGGTTGGTTGGGAGTGAAAACGCTATTGGCCCGCGAACCAATGGGAGTGTAAAAAATGTAGGACGGGGTCTTAGAACTCTGGAATAATCACACGCGTTTTGGGGACACCCAACCAACACTAGGAAGGATGAACCAATTTTGACCTTCTTGACCCTCGGGTTTTAAGTAAGCAGATCGACATTTGCAAACTGAACATTGAGAAGCAACAAACCGTGGATATAGCTATTAATGGAAACACACACAAGAAAACCTGACGCAATGCATATCGAGAGAAAAAAAGAAGAGAAGGAAAAAACAAAGAGACTCACACGCTGAAGATCTGCAACAGCTCGGCTTCGCTCACTTGCAGGCCCAGGTTGCCGAGATAGAGCGTGTTGCAGGGGGGGTTGTCACGGTATATCTGATGGAGGAAATGGGGATACAGTGCAGCATATTGCGGTTCAATGCGGTGTTATGGTTGTGATGTGTGTGGTCCTCACTCCCAGCCCCAGGTTGCGGAGATAGAGCGTGTTGCAGGGGGGGTTGTCGCGGTATATCTGATAGTGGAGGGGAAAAAGTGCGGTGCGGTAACAAGCGGTGTTACTGGGGTGTGGTGTGGTAACAAGCGGTGTTACTGGGGTGTGGTGTGGTAACAAGCGGTGTTACTGGGGTGTGGTGTGGTTACACCCCCCTCACTTGCATGCCCAGGTTGCCGAGATAGAGGGTGTTGCAGGGGGGGTTGTCGCGGTATATCTGAGGGGGAAGGGGTAGAGTGCGGTATAATGAGGTATACGAGCCTCACTCGCAAGCCAAGGTTGCCGAGATAGAGGGTGTTGCAGGGGGGGTTGTCGCGGTATATCTGAGGGGGAAGGGGTAGAGTGCGGTATAATGAGGTATACGAGCCTCACTCGCAAGCCAAGGTTGCCGAGATAGAGGGTGTTGCAGGGGGGGTTGTCGCGGTATATCTGAGGGGGAAGGGGTAGAGTGCGGTATAATGAGGTATACGAGCCTCACTCGCAAGCCAAGGTTGCCGAGATAAAGGGTGTTGCAGGGGGGAAGTGGCGGTAGATCGGATAGAGGAGGGGGGTGAGGTGCGGTAGATCGGATAGAGGAGGGGGGTAGAGTGCGGTATAATGAGGTTTACGAGCCTCACTCCCATGCCAAGGTTGCCGAGATAGAGGGTTTTGCAGGGGGGGATGTGGCGGTATATCTGATGGGGTGGGGAGCATGGAGTAGTATATGGCGGTATAAAAGCGGTGCTCATGCGCTGTGCTGTGGTTCTGCAACACCCAGTGGGGGTTGGAGCGATATATTTGTTAATTGTCATGGAAGGGAGGGGTTAAGGGGGGGGGGGGAGTGGAACAATAGCCGCAAAGCAATACAGTCACACCTCACCCCTCGTTGCCTCAAGACACCGCACCGCACTGCACACCTCTACCTTACCTTCCCAGGCATGTGGGCGGTGGGGCAGGGAGGGGAGAGCAGTCGTGGGGGCAGCAGGGGAGGCAGCAGGGAGGGGCGCAAGGGGGACGATAGGAAACCCTTTGGATCAGTGTAAGCATAACAATGCCTTTCAGAGTCCTCTCCTTGTACCTTTGCAGGCATGTCGGGCGGTGGGGCAGGAAGGGGAGAGCAGTCGTGGGGGCAGCAGGGGAGGGGAGGCAGCAGGGAGGGAGGGAGGGAGGGGGCATATAGAGACGTCTTCGCCTCAGTGTTTTTCTGAACCCTTACCTTTCCAGGCATGCCCGAGGGCGGGGCAGGGAGTGGAGTGTACGTTTTGGGAGCAGCAGCGGGGGCGGCAGGGAGGGGTGTGAAGGAGGAGGCATATGCGTCATATGCTGCTGGCATGAAGCTGGGGTGACGGAAGGGGGTTGGGGGAGTGGGAGGGAGAGGCGAGGGGAGGGCATGAGAGCAAGGTCAACATTGCTCGGGTAGGAGTAGAGGCAGCAGGGGAGACAGCAGAAACGGCAGCAGGGGAGGCAGCAGGTGGAGCAAGATGAGAGCAAGACAAGAATGGCTTTGATCCTACTGCTACAAGGATCTCCACCTTGCTGTTCTTCCCCATGAGTGAGGCCCCGTGGCAGGCACCTCACGTTCCAAGGAGGGGTGACTTTTGAGTCGACTCAAAAGTCACCTCGGCCCCGTGGCAGGCACCTCACCTCACGTTCCAAGGAGGGGTCACAGGCGTCACATGCAGGAGAGGTAGAGAAGAGAGTAGTACCTACCGCCCCCCTTCCCTCTTCCTCCTGCTCCCCTCTCATCTCACCTGCCCATAGCAGCAGCAGTGCCGGGCATAAAGGGCACCAGGCCCACCCGATAAACCCTCATGCCCTTCTCCTTCTCTCCCCACATACCCTTCCCTTTCCCCCGCCCCCCCTCACCTGCCCATAGCAGCAGCAGAGCCGGGCATATAAGCAGCCATCGGATCCACCCTCGAGCGTTTGGAGTGATCGTAGCCGTCACCTCCCCCAGGTAGACCTGTAAGGGAAGGGGCGCATGGGAAGGGGCGCATGGGAAGGGGCGCATGGGAAGGGGCGCATGGGAAGGGGCGCATGGGAAGGGGCGCATGGGAAGGGGCGCATGGGAAGGGGCGCATGGGAAGGGGCGCATGGGAAGGGGCGCATGGGAAGGGGCGCATGGGAAGGGGCGCATGGGAAGGGGCGCATGGGAAGGGGCGCATGGGAAGGGGCGCATGGGAAGGGGCGCATGGGAAGGGGCGCATGGGAAGGGGCGCATGGGAAGGGGCGCATGGGAAGGGGCGCATGGGAAGGGGCGCATGGGAAGGGGCGCATGGGAAGGGGCGCATGGGAAGGGGCGCATGGGAAGGGGCGCATGGGAAGGGGCGCATGGGAAGGGGCGCATGGGAAGGGGCGCATGGGAAGGGGCGCATGGGAAGGGGCGCATGGGAAGGGGCGCATGGGAACCACCGAAATAAGAGAGGACACGGAAAGCAGAAGGGAGAGGATAGCTGAGAGCGAGCGAGGAATGGGGCGGGCAGGCACGGTCGACCCTCGATCGCTTAGAGTACCCTAAACACTGAAAAGGTCCTGCACTGTAGAGCCTAAACTCTAACTGTACACCCTAACCAAAGAACCTTAACCCTATCACTTTTCTGAGGATGTTTCGGCCTCTCGCATCGCTCGCCCACACCTTTTAATCTGTGGTTCATCTGCAGATCCAGTCATATATGCAGATCCAGTCATATATGCAGATCCAGTCATATATGCAGATCCAGTCATATATGCAGATCCAGTCATATATGCAGATCAAATCCGATGTCTCTGATTGTCCTGCATGCCGCGTCTATGCCTCTCACCTTTCCGTCTGTGCAGATTGGTTTTCGCCAGCTCCACTCGCAGCACCGAGTTGTGATCCGCGTCGAAGATGAGACCCTGGGGGGGGAGGGGGGTGGGGGGAGGCACAGTGCACACGCACACAGTGACATGAAGGAGCAACGGGGCCGTGGCAGCAGCAGCAGCAGCAGCTCCACTTGCAGCACTGAGTTGTGGTCCGCATCGAATATGAGGCCCTGGGAGGTTAGGGAAGAAGGGGGTGGGACAAAGTGCCACACACACACAGACATAAGGAACAATCAGGCAGCAGCGGCAGAAGCAGCTCCACTCGCAGCACAGAGTTGTGATCCGCATCGAATATGAGACCCTGGGTGGGGAGGGAGGGAGGGAGGGAGGGAGGGAGGGAGGGAGGGAGGGAGGGAGGGGATGGGAGGGAGGGAGGGAGGGAGGGAGGGAGGGAGGGAGGGGATGGGAGGGAGGGAGGGAGGGAGGGAGGGAGGGGATGGGAGGGGATGGGAGGGGCACAGTACACACATACACATGAAGGATCAATGAGGCAACGTCAGCAGCAGCAGCAGCTCCACTCGCAGCACTGAGTTGTGGTCCGTGTCGAATATGAGACCCTGGGGGGAGGGAGAGCGCAGAGGGGGGGAAGGGCACAGTGCACACATGCATATGAAGGATCAGTGAGGCAGCAGCAGCAGCAGAAGCAGCTCCACTCGTTGTGGTCCGCGTCGAATATGAGACCCTGGGGGGAAAGGGGGGGAAGGGGGGAAAGGGGAACAGTGAACACGCACCCAGAAGGATGAAGCAGCAGCAGCTCCACTCGCAACACCGCGAGCCGCGATGTAAACCTATTTTGCGGAGGGTCACCATAGTTTCGTCAATGGAACCAATGAAAGACGATGTTGAAAGGAATTGAATGGATCGAGCCGAGCCGCGAGGTTCCTTCCTTTCAACATCGTCTTTCATTAGTTCCATTAATGAAACTATGGTGACTTTCCGCAAAGCAGCAACAGTTGTGTGGTCCGCGTCGAATATGAGACCCTGGGGCGATTTGAGGGGAGAGGGAAGGGCACAGTGCACACACACTCATGAAGGAGCAATGAGGCAACGGCCGCAGCAGCAGTTCCACTCGCAACACTGAATTGTGGTCCGCATCGAATATGAGACCCTGGGAGGATTACACGGGCGGGGTGAGTGCACACAGAAACATGCAGGAGCAATGAGGCAGCAGCAGCAGCGGCAGCTCTACACCCTGCCCAACTGCAGCGCGTCTCTAGCAGCGAATGCCATGGCAGGAATGCTAAAAATCGCAAACCCAAGTGGCTGGTCGCCTCGAAGGCGAGCTGGCAGGCCTCGTAGCTTGGCCATCGCTACCACCCATTTCACCCCACCACATTCCACCCCTCTCTCCAACCTTCCCAACTCACCTGCAGCGCGTCTCTAGCAGCAAACGCCATGGCAGGAGTACTGAAGATGGCGAACCCTAACAGCTGGTCGCCGTTGAAGGTGAGCTGGCAGGCCTCGTAGCCCAGCCACTCTCCTTCTCCCATCTACTTCTCCCCTCCCACCGCATCCCACCCACCCCACCCACCCCACGCGCTCCACTCCTCTCTCCTACCTGAAGTGCATCTCTAGCAGCAAACGCCATAGCAGGGGTGCTGAAGATGGCGAACCCTAAAGGCTGATCCCCCTTAAAAGTGAGCTGGCAGGCCTCGTAGCCCGGCCACCAGCGCAGCATGTTCTGCACCTCGCGCTCCTTGGCGTCTGGGGGGAACCCTGTGACGAAAATGGTGCGAATCTGGTTGGCGAAATGTTACAAACGTTTCGCCAAAGAGAGGGGGAAAAAGGGGGGTTGGGGAGGGAGCGGGGTGAGCTGGCAGGCCTCGTAGCCCGGCCACCAGCACAGCATGTTCTGCACCTCGCGCTCCTTGGCGTCTGGGGGAAACCCTGTTACAAATATCGTGCGAAACTGGTCGCGAAATGGACGAAATGGGCGACGTAGTGGAAACCACGGCGAAAAGAGGGAAAGGGAGGGGAGGCGAAAACGGAATCACTTTAGTTTCGAGGGAAACGGAGAACAACGCTTTAGGAAGACGAGAAGCGAGTTTCAGGAAGAAAGGAGAGGCTCGTTTCACGTAAAAATGAACGACGCGGTTCAGGAAAAATGGGAGAATATTCGATTCCTAAAACGTCGTAAAACGATTACAGCGCGAGAGACGGATGGGTGTACGAGATGCGTTAAGGGGGACTGGTGCGGATTGTGCCGTCAGACTGACGTCAGCCTTGACGGGGGACGATTCTGGGAAGTCTCGAGGCAGCGCGGCGAGTTAACGCTGCGACGAAGGTAGATCGCGAAAACGAGTGCGACGACAAGAGTTCCGGCAAGCGAGAGTGCGACGACAGGAGATCTCACCTCCTCGCCTTCGGGAGTCATGGGCCACTGGCCGGTGTAGAGCGGATTCGCCATTGACAAGATAACGCCCGGCTTTTGGATGTTCTTGGAGAGTTCCGAGCCACAGTATTTTACGGACGGTAGCCGGGAAGCGCGGAAGCGCGGAAATGAGGAAGACGTAGGGAAGAAGTGGCGGAATGTAAGTTAGACGAGACGCGCTGATGGCACACCTACAGACCTGGGTAACTTGACATAGGAACGTGTTTTAGGGTTGCCTCTGTACGCGGTATGGCCTTGCTCTGCTTGTAATCCCCTTAACAGCCTTTGGTATTCTGCTGGTATAGGTTATAGTTTTTTTGGTGTTTTAATGGGCGGAGCTTGTAATCAAATAGATACTACATGGTCCTTATCCTATATAACTGTTCTAAGGAGTTAAGAGTGGTAATGACGAGCAGACCCGCTGCGAGGTGCAATAAACAATATAATACATGGTGTGCAAGCGAAGACAAAGTAAGCATAAGGAAATTCCTTACACTACACGCTTCCTTACAGAGGCCCTTTTTAACGAGAGTGCCTACAGACAAGGTACGCATCATGTGAAGTGAAAGCACGCCACCATGTCCACCATCATGAGGCTCTCATAGAATGTCAGAGAATGTACCGTATAAGAAACGCAGGAGCAATATCACCTACCGTAGTGCCCAAACGGCTCCTTCCTTATCACAAGAATACGGTTACACATCCAGCGCATTGTCAGACATTTCATAACCCTCCTTGTCTGAGGATAAGAGTTACACTTCAATGCCATCTACCCATCCAATGCTTCTTCATACCCTAATATCTGTACACGTCTCAATTTTATTGTTCACACCACAAGAAAACCATGCTGTTTCTGACCAAGTACCATTACCATCCTCACCCTCACAGCCTGGCTGGATCTGCCCCTACCACGATGTTGCAGGTTGCTTTTGAGAACCTGTAAGCCCATACAGTTTTTGAGTCGACTCATCACATGAGAACCTGTAAGCCCATACAGTTTTTGAGTCGACTCATCACATGAGAACCTGTAAGCCCATACAGTTTCTCAACTACCTTCCTCTCCTCACCCTCACAGCCTGGCTGGGTCTGCCCCTGCTGCTCCTGCCCTCCCTCTTCCTTCCCCTCCTGCAGCTTCTCCTGCACCTGCCCCCCCTCCTTCTCCTTCCATGATCCATCCTCTCTCCACCACGAATCCCCTCTCCTCCACTGCCTTCTCTCCCTCAACCCCATCAGTGCTCACCAGCAGGGTGACTGGGTACCACGCACTATAATGTTCTGACAGGTACCACTCACTAACATTGTACTCCTCAATCTCCGCTGCAGCTCGCTTGAAATCCTCCACTCCCGCCCATGAAAAATCCTCCTCGGTTCCCTTCATAACGTTGGCCACTAGCTGGTCTGCACCGTTTTTGAGGCGCCAAAAAAATCCGCCTCAATCTATGAGGCGCCCATGGAAGATCCGCCTCGATTCCCTTCATAACCCTGGCCACTAGCTGGTCTGCACCGTGGACACACGCTGTTGTTACGAAGAAGCAGGGGGGGACAGAAGAAAAGGGGGTGGGGGGGGGCAGAAGGGGAAGCCGGGATAGAAGGGTTAAAATGCACCTCGATTCCCTTCATAACCCTGGCCATAGCTGGCCGTTGACACACGCTGTTGTCGAGAAGGGGATCGGGGTGGGGTCAGAAAGGGTCGTGTTTTGAGTCGACTCAAAACACGAAGGAGATCGGGGTGGGGTCAGAAAGGGTCATGTCTTGAGTCGACTCAAAACACGAAGGGAATCGGGGTGGGGACAGAAAGGGGAGCGAGAGGAGGGAAGGAGCGGGTCTGTGCTTGCAGAAGTGGGTCTTCATCTGTGTTGCTTTGCTGAACGCACATTGTTGTTGAGAAGGGAATGCGTTCAGATAGGAAGGAAGCGAGAGAATGGAATGTTCTGTGCTTGCATAAGTGGGCATCCATCTGTGTTGCTCAACATCTACTGTAGGAGCAGGAGAGGGGAGAGCAGGAGAGGGGAGAGCAGGAGAGGGGAGAGCAGGAGAGGGGAGAGCATGAGAGGGGAGAGCAGGAGAGGGGAGAGCAGGAGAGGGGAGAGCATGAGAGGGGAGAGCAGGAGAGGGGAGAGCAGGATAGGGAGAACCACCCACCAATGAGTCAGCTCCCGTCTCAACTCCTCAAGCCTTCGTAATATCTGCCACCCGACGGATGTGATTACAAACGGATGTGATTACAAACGGATGTGATTGCAAACGGATGCGATTGCAAACGGATGTGATTGCAAACGGATGTGATTGCAAACGGATGTGATTGCAAACGGATGTGATTGCAAACGGATGTGATTAAAAACGGTAGTCGATGGGATGAGCGCGAAGGTGACAAGGCCCTCTCGTGTTGCCGGACAGTGGTGCTAGCTTGTGTCACTTTTGAGAATTCTCACACGTAGACTTGGAACCCTCAAATCTGTGCAACTTAGAGGAATTCTCATGGGTGACAGCGGCCTAGCATGGGTGACAGCGGCCTAGCATGGGTGACAGCGGCCTAGCATGGGTGACAGCGGCCTAGCATGGGTGACAGCGGCCTAGCATGGGTGACAGCGGCCTAGCGTGGGTGACAGCGGCCTAGCGTGGGTGACAGCGGCCTAGCGTGGGTGACAGCGGCCAGCGTGGGTGACAGCGGCCTAGCGTGGGTGACAGCGGCCTAGCGTGGGTGACAGCGGCCTAGCGTGGGTGACAGCGGCCTAGCATGGGTGACAGCGGCCTAGCGTGGGTGACAGCGGCCTAGCGTGGGTGACAGCGGCCTAGCATGGGTGACAGCGGCCTAGCATGGGTGACAGCGGCCTAGCATGGGTGACAGCGGCCTAGCATGGGTGACAGCGGCCTAGCATGGGTGACAGCGGCCTAGCATGGGTGACAGCGGCCTAGCATGGGTGACAGCGGCCTAGCATGGGTGACAGCGGCCTAGCATGGGTGACAGCGGCCTAGCATGGGCTCAAAAGAACTGTAGACGCTCCTCCCCACCTCATTGGCCTCGTCTCACCACCTCTCCCCTCACCCGCCCTTTCCCCTCACAACCCTTGTCCCCTCACCCCTGCTTTCCCCTCACCCCCCCTTTCCCTTCATCCCCCCTTTCCCCTCATCCCCTCAGTCACCTCGTGATCCTCGCCTCAACCCCCCCCTTAAACCCCCCTTTCCCCTCACCTCCTGCTCGTAAATGCTCCTCTGCTCCCCTAGGCGATCACCCATCAGCTTCTCCTCTGCCTTCCGTACGAGCGACTCTTCCCTCACACCCCCTCTCCCCTCAACATCTCGCTCCTCCCCTCCATCTGATGTTGCAGCCTCTCAACCTCTCCTTCCACACACCGCACCTCTCGCTCCTCTGCTCCACTTTAACACACCGCACCTCTACTCCTCTGATGTTGGACCTCTCTACCTCTCCTTCCACACACCACACCTCCCGCATGCATTCTCACATCTGCCTCTCTCCTCAACCCCCCTTCCCCTTTCCCCCTCATCTCACCCTCAACCCTCAACCCCCTCACCCCTCCCTCACCTCCCCCTCGCCCCTCCCCTCCCCTCCCCTCAACCTCCCGCCCCTCCCCTCCTGCTCGTGAGCGTTCCTCTCCCCTCCTGCTCGTGAGCGCTCCTCTCCTCCTGCATGCAACCCCCCTTCAACATAACGTCTTTGCGTTGTCTCCAAAATTCCTCCTTCACCATCTCACCATCTCAAAAAGTTGCGAGAATGTCTCCCTCACGGCCTCCCTCACGGCCTCCCACACGGCCTCCCTCACGGCCTCCCGCACGGCCTCCCTCACGGCCTCCTTCAGCATCTCACCATCACCTCGTTCAGCTTCTCCACCCACTTGTCCATCCCCGCAAGTACTGCAGAAGTCAAAGGAAAGGAAAACAGGCGGGGCAAGAGAGGAAAGAAGCAGAGGTGGGGCAAGGGAGGTGACTTTTGAGTCGACTCAAAAGTCGGTTGCGAGAATGTCTCCTTCCTGGTCTTCCTCACGGCCTCCTTCAGCTTCTCCTCCCACTTGTCCATCCCCGCAAGTACTGCAGCAGTCAAAGGAAAGGAAAACAGGCGGGGCAAAAGAGGAAAGAAGCAGAGGCGGGGCAAGGGAGGAAAGAAGCAGAGGCGGGGCAAGGGAGGAGAGAAGCAGAGGCGGGGCAAGGGAGGAAAGTAGCAGAGGCGGAGAAAGGGAGGAAAGCAGCAGAGGCGGGGCAAGGGAGGAAAGAAGCAGAGGTGGGGAAAGGGAGGAAAGCAGCAGAGGCGGGGCAAGGGAGGAGAGAAGCAGAGGCGGGGCAAGGGAGGAAAGTAGCAGAGGCGGAGAAAGGGAGGAAAGCAGCAGAGGCGGGGCAAGGGAGGAAAGAAGCAGAGGTGGGGAAAGGGAGGAAAGCAGCAGAGGCGGGGCAAGGGAGGAGAGAAGCAGAGGCGGGGCAAGGGAGGAAAGCAGCAGAGGCGGGGAAAGGGAGGAAAGAAGCAGAGGCGGGGAAAGGGAGGAAAGCAGCAGAGGCGGGGCAAGGGGGGAAAGCAGCAGAGGCGGGGCAAGGGAGAAAAGCAGCAGAGGCGGGGCAAGGGAGGAGAGAAGCAGAGGCGGGGCAAGGGAGGAAAGAAGCAGAGGTGGGGAAAGAGAGGAAAGCAGCAGAGGCGGGGCAAGGGAGGAGAGAAGCAGAGGCGGGGCAAGGGAGGAAAGCAGCAGAGGCGGGGCAAGGGAGGAAAGAAGCAGAGGCGGGGAAAGGGAGGAAAGCAGAAGAGGCGGGGCAAGGGAGAAAAGCAGCAGAGGCGGGGCAAGGGAGGAAAGAAGCAGAGGCGGGGCAAGGGAGGAAAGCAGCAGAGGCGGGAAAAGAGAGGAAAGCAGCAGAGGCGGGGCAAGGGAGGAGAGAAGCAGAGGCGGGGCAAGGGAGGAAAGCAGCAGAGATGGGGCAAGGGAGGAAAGAAGTAGAGGCGGGGCAAGGGAGGAAAGAAGAAGAGGCGGGGCAAGGGAGGAAAGCAGCAGAGGCGTGAGCATCACGCATGCACATGAGCATCACGCATGCACATC